CAGAAAGAAACAATGTAGTACACTGTACATGAAGAGGAACCCAATCTCCCCAGGATGAAACCCAACCCCATGCTCAATGTGAGATATTCTTGATTTAACATGAAGTGCAATGGCATCAATCAGTAGTGACATTATCATGAAGGTTGATATTATATGGAGTATCCAGTGGAATAGGAACCATAACTGAAGCCAGCTAAGTGTGGATACTGCTGTATCAACAAAATGTCTATCACGTGCCTTGAGATAATTTTTGGCATTTTTATCGGTGATGTAAATACCCTTATAAAAGTTATTCAGTTCAACTTCAAATTTAATGCTTTCAAGATAATTTGTTACCATGTTTGAAAGTTTTTGACCAGTAGGAAGTGTTACGTTAGTACCAGTAGGAAGTGTTACCTTAGTACCAGTAGAAAGTGTTACGTTAGTATCAGTAGAAAGTTCTACCTTAGTACCAGTAGGAAGTGTTACGTTAGTACCAGTAGGAAGTGTTATGTTAGTATCAGTAGAAAGTGTTACCTTAGTACCAGTAGGAAGTGTTACGTTAGTATCAGTAGGAAGTGTTACGTTGGTATCAGTAGAAAGTGTTATGTTAGTACCAGTAGGAAGTGTTACGTTAGTATCAGTAGAAAGTGTTACCTTATCACCAGTAGAAAGTGTTACATTGGTATCAGTAGAAAGTGTTACGTTAGTATCAGTAGAAAGTGTTACGTTAGTACCAGTAGGGGTAATATTACGTTTATAAACCTCATTAATATGATATACAAATAGTTCTATTTCTTCACATCTTCTCTGTATTCCGTACATTAACTTTGAGAATATAAAACAACTGACCAGAACACGAAATAAAGAATAAGTGTACAATGCAAGAGCAGATCTCTCGCGATTATATGTATCTTTCTCCAATCTATCTTTATCCTCTTTACAATAAAGGGAAAAGAATACTATAGCAGTAGTAGCAAGTAGCATGAACCCTATGATAAACCATGTGACATAATGACACAACCGTTCACCTTGCAGTGGTGTATTGGTACGTACATCTTCTGTACTAAAGAAATCAACATTTTCCTCTGTTTTGTGGTTATAAAGTGTTTTTATTGGATCCGTTTCCATTAAATCACTGTCTTCAGTGTCATCATTAAAAGGATCTATGGGCAGTTTATCTTTATTACTGCTCTCCACACCACAGCATTTCTCTTTAAAGTCTTTCTTTTTTTTCACCAAGTAATCATAAACACATTTATAGTGTTTAATATACAGGCACCACAGTGCCCATATGAACAATACGTGAGATACTGCAGTGGCTGTTGTTGAAAATAGCAATGATATCTTACTGAGATCAACAAACTCTTGAATCAAATGTTTAGTAACATTATTAGTAACATCATTCTCTATGAAGAGAAAGAACCAAAAATGTATGTACTATTATTTATATTATACTTAATTACTTAATTATTTTACCTGGTTTATAGTCTCTCAATACAAGTTCAGGAAGCTCATTAGCTACAGTACTGTTGTGAGTGTTGTCATAGTAGAAGTACAGTGTATAGCATAATTCAGATATTTCATATGTACTGTCTTTTTGACATGTAGCCCAACCAGCAATGAACATAACCAGAGGAAAGACATTAATAGCAACTGCTGCAATAGATATAAACAATATGAAGCAACCAAAATAGATTTGACAACAGCCAAAGCCGGAATGCCAGGAACCTTTCTTGTACCAGTAATCCTTAGAGCAACAGCAGCAAATCCAAACAGACTTACACTGATCACATTTATGCTCAGCACAGCAACTGGTTTGACCATTCTCGGACTCCTCATTGTCACTTTTCTTTTTTTTGAATTCTTGGTCACAGCATTTCTTCTTACAGTCACAGCATTTGCAGTACTTTTCACCTTTCCTTTTTGGTCGTATCCATTGGAAGGTAATATAGTTCAAAATAAAGAAGCAAATTGGAAAGATGTATTTTGTGCAGAAATCTATATATTTGTAATAATATCAATATCTATTGTAAGACTTTAATTTTTTACCTACCTTTAATAATTTTAAAGCAGTCATCAGCCTCAGGATTACCACTTATTAGCAAAAAAATAATAATTTTACAGAAATAATTTATATACTTACTTATCATGCATTATTGTTCAGGAATATAATGTCAAAAGAGACAGTTGAGCTATGGAGCACAAGAGTCTTGCTTCTGATATAAAACAAGGAGGATGAGTCACTGAGTGAGTGTAAGGTGATATTTTGTTAGGACAGTAATCTCCCTTCATGAATAAAATAATAAATAATATATAGGTCTATTAAAGTGTTTACTGACTAGTAGAGTTTAGATCTATATAGTTTATAAGCAGTTATAATTTAAAAGTAATTATTGGTAGCGATATTGATATACATAATTACAGTACATACATAGAAAAGTATATGGATCTAATATAAAACATGCATTGAACTTGTAGTTATATTAGTCGATAAAGCACTGGACTATTTTTTGTGTGGCATTAAGTGTGTTTATTGTTATGGTAACAGGTATCATGTTACTAAGAATCATAAAATGCATTTCATGAATAATGTTAAGTTACTTTAGAAGTCATACATCAGAAGAGTAATGAATATTACTATTGCTATAGTAACATTACAACTCCTTCCTACTAATAGACTAACAGTGATACATCTAAACAACGCAATAATGTCTTATATCAAGCATCTTAAGCTTCCTTTAGCTCTATGCATTCAATGACAATAACTGCTAATGTAATAACTAGTATCATTAATCAAACAAAAATGGTAGATTTATTCAGCCAAAAAATGTTAAAGTTAAGTAAAGCAGCAGTACAACAAATAAAAGACTAAACAAAAGACAATAATAATAATAATAACTAATAATAATATTATATTATATTAGTCAGTGACAGTAGTGATTAGTGCCACTACACTACCAATGAAACCAAAGGCAATAGATAAATAAGCAATGTTTAAATTAAAAGGAATACTAGCACACAATATACGTAACCTGAAACTAAACTTCCTCCTCTTCATAGACTCAATAAACTCTGATATGACACCTTCAGGGAGATTAGTAAACTTGTAAGTATCATCACTGATTCTTTTTATCAAGCGTTTTCTTGTCCTAGTGACACCAGCAGCTCTTAGACAAGGATAAACTAACACAAAACACTGCACTAGACTGTACAAGAATAGGAACACTATCTGTACTGGATGGAACCCAACTCCTTCCTCTATATGTGGTACCCTATCCTTAACGTGAAGTGCCACTGCATCAATCAGTACAGTGAGTATCATGAAGGTTGATATTATGTATAGTACCCAATGGAGTAGGAACCATAGTTGAAGCCAGCTAAGTGTTGCTACTGCTGTGTTAACAAAATGTTTGTCATGTTCCTTTAGATACTTCAATGCTAGCTCTTTCTTACCATCAGCACTATCTGTCTTGTTATGTTCCTTGATTAATTCTTTGAGGGCAGTGGCATATCTTGTAGCTTGTGCTTTTATTCTTTCTTTTCTCTCTTTATCCTGTGTAATGTAATGCTGCTCCTTAATATCTTCAGAATCTACACTGTTTATTGCAGTAATAACTGACTCTTCCATATTCTTAACAATTTCATAGTCATGACGGACATTTAGATTACCACTACATTGAGTTTTAATGGCATTTACAATGTTTGTACTTGATGTGCACACTGTATTTTGAACTGCATTTTTAACTGCATTCTGAATTGCATTTTGAACAACATTTTTCAGATCTGCATTCTGAGCTGCATTTGGATTGAAATCCTGAACAGTTTCAACTGCATCTTGAAGTGCATTTTGAAGAGCTTCTTCAACTGTATTTCGATTGACATTCTGAACTACATCTCTGACTGCATTTTGAACTTCATTCTCAACTGCATCTTGAACTGCATTTTGAAGAGCTTCTTTAACTGCATCAATATCCTGAACAGCATTTTTAACTGCATCTTCAATGGAATTTAGATTAACCTTCTGAATTGCATTTTGAACTGCATTTTGAATGACATGTTCATTGACTTCTTCCAGGAAACCATCAGCCAGTTTCTCTGCTAAATTGTCAATATCATCAAATGATTTAACAGATTTTAGCATTTCAGTAACTGCTATCGTAAGCTCAGACTTAAATATTGTTTTTACATATTTCTTTATTTTGTTGTTATTAGTCTCATTAATATTATCATTAGTGTAATATACATACATTTCTATTTCTTCACATTTTCTTTGTATAGCGTACATCAACTTTGAGAAGATGAAGCAACTGACAATACTACGGAATAATGACCAGGCATAAACAATGGTAGTGGAAAACTCCCACCAATTAATTGTTGTTTGGTTGGCAATATATTGAACAGGAAAGAAGGTTGAACTGATTGCAGCCATCATAAACAACCCAATAGCAAACCATGTGTTGTAATGGCATAATCTCTCACCTTGAAGTAATGTACTGGTACTGGTGTCTTGCTGGGAGAATAAGTTTCCTTCTTCTGTTCCTCTTGTTTCATAATCAAATACTGTAACTATTTTCTGTTTATGTTGATACACAACAGCAATTGAAGTAGGTTCAATAAATTCATTTTTATCATAATCATTAAAAGGATCTAGTGGTATCACATTCTTATCATCAGCTTCATCTCTGGTACAGCAGCAGTACAGTTTACATGCCTTCCAACAGCTCCAGCTGTTCAATTTACGAAACCACTTGTAATGTCTGCAGAATAGACAGATCAGTGCTATTATGAAGAATATTTGTGACACTCCATTAGCTGTTGTTGAGAACAGTATCGCTATCTTAGTAAGATCAAGGAACTCCTGAACTTCATGAGAATTATTAGCATCAATCAGTTTATCTATTGTTAATGAGTCATTATGATGTATTAACTGAATAATTTCAACACTTACCTCTTCCAGTATCTCTCAGTACAATATCTGGTCCAGTACTTTCATTTATTGTAATAGTGAAACAAATCTCTCCTTCACTGTTGCTGTATTTGTATGGTTTACAGTTAGCCCACCCAGCAATGAATGCACTAGTAGGATATGCACTGATAGCAATAACCAGTAATACTGATAGTACAATTGTAATATACAGCATCACAATACAGCAATTTTTGCCAGATCTTTTACAAGTACAGCAGCTACAGCAGTAGGATGGGCAGCATTTGGCATCATTTTCCTCACCATCCTCTAATTCAGCTGGTTTGATGCATTGGCAAGTGATAAAACTAAGAAATTTCAAACAGCCAGGTACCCAGTGGGTAGTGCAACCTGGACAGCCAGGTTCTATATAACAGATATAATAATAATTGATTATCAACAAACACCTACTTGGTGAAAAGCACTTCTTACAGTAGTCACTACAACCCATTATTAGTTGAATCAAATACTGTAAAAAGCATTATCTACCATCATGTTATACTACAGACTTACCTACAGTATAGCATATGTGGGAATATTATCATAAGCCAATCTACTATCACATTTCTATATCACCTTTAGTAGTACCACTCTCTTGCTTTGTTCCTGTCTAGGGCTGCATGTTTCTTCTTCATTTCCCACTATGAATAATGTAATACTGAACCATTGCAATGTACATGTAATGTACACTATAAGAGTAAAATTTAATTTATTATTGAATTTTGTGTTAAAGAACTGTGAAATGGGTAAGTATATTGTTTCCTATACCAGCACATCATGATAGCAATACATATATTAACATGATGTATCATGAAGAGAGACAAAGAGAAGTGGGTGAGATCATTAGTAGTACATACACTGTGTAGTAGAAGTGATGTGAATGTTATGATAAATGGAAGGAATAAACTAACAATGAAAGCATCAGGTGTCAGTAGTGATAAGTGTCTAGTCTTCATAGCCAGACTATCCACTCCTTTTTGACTCGACAGTCTACTGTCCAAAAGTCAAAAAGAGGTGGAGAGTCTGGCTATGCAAGACCAATAAGTGTCTAATAATAGTAACATATACATCTATTAATAGTAACAGTCACAAAATACATAAATGAGGACTGAGTGTATAATACATTGTTAGTGTAGAAGTAAATAATACTTCAGTTGTGTTATGTTTTTAAGTTTTGTTTTCTTCCAGAGACCCATTCATTAAACACTGCCCTATTAATAATAATAATAATAATAATAATAATAATAACAATAATAATAATAATAATAATAATAATAATAATAATAATAATAATAATAGTAATAATAATAATAATAATAATAATAATAATAATAATAATAATCAATACTCTCCTCCCTACCTGCAGTGGTTCACTATACAGTCATTGCAGCAGTACTTGTATCCTCTCTCCTCTTCATATGAGGACATGTTGTAGCAACCAACAGCAACACACATACCATCAGTCTTCCTCCTTTTAACTATACAAACAACATCAATTAATAATAATATGTTACTATTTTTTAAAGTTGCTCAAAAATCAGGCCAAAGTACACGGTTTCAGGCCAAATTTCGTCAAAATTGAAAAGTAAAGAATTTGACATTTTTATATTTGTTTCTAATGCATATACATGTACTTATGTTGTGTAGAAAGTTTGAGCTAATTCCGATCAAATTTGCATTCTTTATGAACATTTAAAGTTACTCACTACGCTTTTATTGCCCAGCCCCACCTCTTAGCCCCGCCCCCTTAGCCCCACCTATTGTTTCTTCATTGGTTCCTTCTTTGCTTCCTTTCCTTGGTCTCTTGTTAGTTGGTTTAGTAGTGACTGATAAAGTGGGCGTGGCACTAGCAGTAGGCGTGGTTGGTGTAGTGGGCATGTCCTGCCTATGAGATTGAGATTGTTTCATCTCCTCCTGTTTATCATAATATTTCTGTAAAGAGAAAGAAATCATAAATTGAGGGAAATACACTATAATAATAACCATTTTGTACATGTACATGTATATAGTATAGTCTCTCTTAATGGACACTCTCTATAGCATACACCTCCATTTAACGGACAGCACCTAGTGTACCAATTACATTCCTTACTGTATAAAATAACCTCCACATAAAGGACACCTCTGTATAACAGAGACACAGTGTCCATTATAAAGAGGCTAGTCTGTATACATCAGTAGTTACCTTCTTTCCTTCTTGTCCTAGTACATTCCACATTGATGATACTATCTTGGACACTTCAGAAAACGGCAACTAATTAATGAATAAATCAATATTTATTAATGATTATTGGCTAATATACATTAGGATTCTCCTCAATAACTTTATGATAAACGTCAGAGAAATAATAATTGAATGCAGTGGGAGGCCTGGAGAGAGAGAGAGAGAATAATAATAATAATGATAATGATAATTATACATGTCATGTAGTAAGTATCATAGTTACTGTATATCAGTACATCATGAACATACTACAGTCAGTAACACTACACGTACATACAATTATTATTATTATACACTACAGTACACACATGACTACTGATACTATACACATCATTAATGAATGAATATACATGTATGAAGGTATATTATGTACATTATACCAGTGAGTGTGTGTACATGTACATCATTATACTGTACCTCTTCTCCTGATCTTTCTTCTTCTTACCAGCACCAGCACCAGCACCATTACCAGTAGTACTAACAGCACTACTGCCACTACTAGTACTAGCAGTGATAGTGGTATTAGTAGGGTGTGGTTGAGAGGGTCCAGTAGCAGTAGGAGGAGGAGGAATGGAGAATGAAGGAGGGAGGGAAGCACCAGGTGTAGTCTGAATAATATCATAATAATAATAATAATGGAGTCAGTAATATCATGGACTATAGTACAGGGACTTTGGACCAATTTTTGAGTAACTTCTCAAATTTTTAAAAAGTCCAAACTTGATCGAAATCAGCTCAAACTTTCTAGACAGCATAAGGACATCAATATGCATCAGAAAATGTAATAAAAATTTGGTGCAATTTCGGAGCCATTTTTCCAAAAAAACCATGGGCTATAGCCTTGGGTATTTTTTAGATTTTTAGCATTTTCTTAAAATGGCTGTAACTTGAAAAATTTTAGTCAGAATTAGCTCAAACTTTCTACACAGCATAAGGACATCAATATGTATCAGAAAATGTAATAAAAATTTGGTGTGATTTCGGAGCCATTTTTCCGAAAAAACCATGGACTATAGTCCATGGTTTTTTCGGATATAGCCTTGGGTATTTTTCAGATTTTTAGCATTTTCTTAAAATGGCCGTAACTTGAAAAATTGAAGTCAGAATTAGCTCAAACTTTCTACACAGCATAAGTACATCAATATGTATCACAAAATGTAATAAAAATTTGGAGTGATTTTGAAGCCATTTTTTGAAAAAAACCATGGGCTATAGCCTTGGGTATTTTTCAGATTTTTGGCGTTTTCTTAAAATGGCCGTAACTTGAAAAATTAAAGTTGGAATCACCTCAAACTTTCTATACGACATAAGGACATCAATATGTATCAGAAAATGTAACAAAATTGGAGAATTCTCTCCTAATAATTTTAAACAAATTTTGGCCTGAGACCCTGTACTATAGTACAGGGACTTTGACCTCATGCTTGAGTAACTTTAAATTAATGTAAAGGCCTTTTCACACTGGCACAGTTTTCAAAGCGCTTTGATGCGCTTTGTTGATACAGCTGAAATAATACGCATTGATCGTGTTCACACTAGCAGCTGAATTATGCATCATTTTGTGTTCTTGTTGCCATTGGTTTACATTGATCGAAGTGCATCACTTCACATCAATCCACCTCTGGAGGTGAAGTGAGAGTGATGTGCATCAATGCGCATTAATTGAAAACCACTCTAGTGTGAACACGATTAATGCGCATCAATGCGCATTACTTTGGCCAGTGTGAAAAGGCCTTAAGTATGTGTATATTAACCTGTGGTGGTGGTGGGTCATTGTTAGTTGTGTTCTCATCAGTGCTGGGGGTTGTCCCTGTCATTATGTTCAGTATTTGATGTTTCAGTAATTGATTAATAGCATCTATTGATGGCTGCTGTAGCCCCGCCCCTAATGAGACCCCACCCCCTCCAGTACTGGCCGACTGCTGCTGAAGTAATGATGATAACTGAGACTGTAACTCTCTCAACTGATTGGACGTTATAGTGAGGGTAGTGCCGGGACTGAGGGTGGGCGGGGCTGGAGTAGGCATGGCTTGAGGTAGAGGAGAAGGAGAATGTAAACGAACTTCATTCAATAGAACAGAATCATCTTTCTATAGGAGATATTATTAGTATATTATTAGTATATTATTAGTATATTATCAGTATATTATTAGTACATTATTAGTATACCAGTACATGTAGGTAAGATATGTACATGTACATAATATTAATCATTAACTACTAATGGTTATTGTTAGGCTGAGGTTAATTAACTGCTGTATTTATAGATACAGACATTTTTAAACAAGAAATGATTATGAAACTTGTACACTATATCTTAAGCAATCCGATTGGTCAATTACATCTAGATATGACACTATTATTATTATTATTATTATTATTATTATTACTATTATTATTATTATTACTATTATTATTATTATTACCTGTATGTTATATTGTCTATTATATCTCTGGGTCATTGCCTGCTGTATTGAAGCATAGTTCACAGCATTACTAGTTATTAAATAATTAATCTGTTCATTACTGAGAGTGTCCAGTGACAGTGGATTGATATCAATAATAGAAGGACCAGAACTATCAATAGGTCCATTACTAGTGCCGTTAGTGGTGGGTGTGGTTTCCACAGAGCCACACCCACCAATATAGAGTGTATGAGTTTGTAACAGTGTTATTAGCAGTGTCTCAATGTTATCAATATTAGGGGCGAGGGGGGAGAGATAGGGCGTGGTCTCTGTAGGGGGTGGGGCTCTTTCTGTGGGTGTGGCTTGAGTAGACATTGAATCATCGTCCAAAACCTAATAATAATAATAATAATAATAATAATAATAATAATAATATTGATATTAGAAAATTTTGAGAGCTCTATAACTGGTATGTAATATTGGTTGGTTTTAATTTGGTGAATTTGTGTTCATGTGTCATTGAGCATGTACAGAATGGTCAAAATGACTGGTTTTAGGTTAACGAATGGATATCAAAATGCCAAATTTGATAAACTTCAATTACCAGCTAATATATACGGAGCATAATGTGGAAAATTATAGAAAATTGTGGAGTTTAAACCAGCAGATTCACTACAAAATATTATACTAGCAATTGCAATAAACTAACAAAACTTCATATACAATTATATTATTAATAATAATAATAAACACATAATTCATTACCTTGCAATAGTTGTGCTCAATTTTGAAATGATTGCTTTCGGAAGCCATTTTGAAACAAGCCACGCCTACAAATGTTAGGCTCCACCTTTATTAATAACTAGTTACTAGTTATTAATAATAACATGGCGGATGAGAAGGAGTCAGAATCTGATTCTGATGATGAATATTGTCCTAATGAAAGTTAGTGGAGTTGATTTATTTAATGAAATTATTAATAATACAGAGGAACTGAGAGAATATGAAGAAGAAAGTGCTAAATTAATGAGGTAATAATAATATCATTAATAATAATAATAATAATAGCAGCAGTGTAGTGGCGAAATTAGAAAATGTAATAAAATTGAAAAAATGTGGCCCAAGGCCATGTACTATATGCAGGGACTTTGACCCAATTTTTGAGCAACTTTTAAAAATCATAAAAAATCCAAACTTGATCGGAATCTGCTCAAAATTTCTACACAACATAAGTACATGTATATGCATCAGAAAATGTAATAAAAATGGAGATTTCTCTCCTTTTCATTAATAAAATTATTAATTAATAGAAAGAGGAAAGGTCCTGCCCTTAGTGAAGTGGTTGATGATTTACTGGAGGAGGAGGGGGCGGGGCAGGGGGAGGAGCCAGAGAGAGTGGTAGAGGATGAAGATACAAAGAAGAATAGATTAGATGAAGTCTGGATGAACTTTAAAAAAGAAACAACAAGTACAAGAACAACAAATAGAAAAGAAACAAATAAACAAATTGAGGAAAAAACTGAAGTAATTAATATTATATTAATTAATTTATTTATTCAATTGAAAGGTTTCGTCTGTTCCTATGGAAACAATTAAAATAAAGAAATCGTTTGATTTTGCAGGAGAAGAAGTAATGTTAGTAGAACAAGAACAAACAGGAATATCATTATTAATGACTTTATTATTATTATTATTATTATTATTATTATTATTATTATTATTATTATTAGTGTTGAGAAGGAGGTCCCTGTACAGTCAAATGAAGCAGTTCAGTTTATAAAATCAACAGAAAAGAGTAACAGACCAAGGTAATAATAGTTATTAATAGTTAATTACTGGTTATTAATTAATAGTATGGGCGGAGTCAGAAGATCAGGAGGTGCCAAGGCGTTATTGGCATCGTTAAATAAAAAACCAAAACTCTCAACACTAGTAATAATTAATTAATAATTAATTTATTATTATTATTATTATTAGGAGAAGTCTAAATTAGACTGGGACAGTTATAAGAAAGATGAAGGATTAGAAGAGGAACTAACCTACCAGACTAAAGACGGGTCAGTATCATCTACTGATCAATACTCTTCCTTTACACTCTACCCTCACATTAAGTGACTATAAACCAGTTTATGTGTGGTCTGCATTGGCTTATCTAAAGTAGCTCAAGTATGTGGTGTAGATAATCAAACTGGTTTAAGTACTGAAGGAGGAGCAGCAGGTGTATTGTGTATATACAGTGTATCATTATAAACTGATTTAAACACACTAATACATGTGGAACCATTTAAGCTGGTTTATAACCACTTGCTTTAACTTGTGTACTGGTGTGTAAATGTGGTGTAAACTGGGTTTATGATTATATTGTGTCTTCTCTCTCTCTCTCTCTCTCTCTCTCTCTCTCTCTCTCAGGTATCTTGATCGTCAGTCATTCTTAAGTAGAGCTGATGTGAGACAGTTTGAAATAGAGAGAGATGAAAGATTGAAGAGATTTAAAAGACTAAACTAAATACTATTAATATACTACACACACTAATCTCCTCTCATGTAATAATAATACTATTCACTACTAGTACAATACAATACATTGATGTACAATACAATTATATTATTGATGTAATGATTTGATATATACTTGGTTTATTGCCTCCTCAGTAATAATGTATTATAACCATATTTAGTGTTATTTGTGTGTTCCAGTAACTAACACACGTACACTGATACACCCATCCTTGATATTGTATTGGTACATGTAGTACATCTGTACTGCTCTATAATTATGACTTGCCACATAATTTGTCACATTAATTTTCTGTTATGACTATACAGGAAGTTGTGGTTTTAGCTGTTTGTTTCAGGCTCTTACTGGTCCTTGTACTGTGTTCTGAGCTAGAGGAGTAAAGGTATAAATTAGTTCTCATGGATACCAGGTGCATAATCTAGTATAATTTCAACAGGCTTACTATCGTTTTTTATACACTGCAAACTAGTAATAATAATAATAATAACTATCTATTTCATGCCGGATAATGTAGTCTAAATACATGTACCTCACTACATAAACAGAAAGGGATGGCCTGGGTTAGGGCATTACTGTAAAATGACCAAATTTAGTCAAAATACAGTCAGTAGTGACAATACTAACTGTAGTAGAGGCGTGGTACCAATCACTAGTAGACACTACTCATGCATATAGCATACACTGTTAATGATCCATGAATATCTATATATCATGTACACATACATTCGCTTCTATTGTACTCTTTTTCAGGCTCGTGGTGTTTTCTGGTCCTTGTTTACTGCTCTTTGTATTGTGTTGTGATCTCTCTCTTGCTAGAGGAGTAGAAGGAGACTGCCCTCCAGTGACTGTCTGATAGTATTCCCTTCACTGTATTGTATATCATTAGTCTATAGTCTGAAGGTAAATCACTGTAGATCAGGAAATTTCAAATTTATGCGGTAGAAAAATTTGTGTCTTAAAATTGTGCTGTATTTAATTTTTACTAAAATAAGACTGTGTCATGTGTTTTTGAATGTGGCATGTAATCTAATTTTTATGGGTGATCTAATTTTTTACAAAATTCTACATTGTAATCCAGTAAAATTATAATCAAAGTAAAACTTTCCCGCAAAAATAGCTTCATATTAATTTCATGGATAATATACAAATACATGTACCTCACTACAGTGTAGGAGGGAACTAAGTCTTTAAATAAACATTTTTTACAAAATAAATACAATACAAGGATAAATAGTAGGTTAAGAAATGAGATAATAATAATGGAAATAAATGAGAGAAAAAAATAATAAGGTAAAATGAATTAGTTAAGTTAGAGTGAGGCGAGCTTCTGAGATAGTCATTTGAATCAAATGAACAGAGAGAGTGGACCAGGGTGAGCACACATTGACAGCCACACATTCTAGTCCAGCCACAATTTTGATAACAGGGCATTCCATCAATTTATCATAAATGCCCACGCAAACAAAAACAACTGTGAAATGACCAAATTTAGTCAAAATAATAGCCTGTAAGGTCACTATTGACAATACTAAATGTAGCACCAATCACTATGCACTGATACTACAGACACTACTCATAGCATATAGTGTTAATGATCCATGAATATAATTCAATGATAGTTCAGGTACACATACACTCACTTCTATTGTACTCTTTACCATTAGTCACTGGATAAAGAAACTACTGGTCTGTAACATCATTTATAATAATAATAATAATTACAAGATGATTGATGTCTCTCAATGGAGAGCAAGTATTGGACTGTGGAACTACTGTCAAGCTGCCTCCAGTAGACCAGCTAATGGCCACCACTCTCACTCATTCAAAGCTGCAGTAGACAGCAAGTTAGGCAGTACTACATCAGGAGAGAAGACATCTAAACTGCCAGCAGCTCTGTCTCTTATTGTTTCTCTTCTTTTATCTTTATTAAGATATATGAAGCTCAATTTTATTTCTCCGACTGGTAAACAAACTAACAGTATATAATATTATCATACAGTGTATTTACAATAGGTATAATTACTGTTACTGTTATGATCCACTGCCTCCAGTCATTAGTCTTGTTTATAGCTACTATTGGGAGTAGCTCTGACCTGATCTACTATTTGGTTTTACTTCTCCTCCTCCTCTTATCAGGAGATGTTGAACTCAATCCTGGTCCTATGATTGATGATCAACCTGATATTTTCCTATTACTTCAATGGCTTGAACCACTTGTTGACTGGAAACCATTTGGTCTTCTCTTACCTGGAATAACACAACACGAAATTTCAATAATAGAACAAATGGATACTGAACATCAAAAACTAGCTTTATTTTCAAAATGGTTAAATACAGATCCTAGAGCAACATGGAGAGATGTACTCAATGCATTGACTAAAAGAGAAGAGATCAATTTATTACAAACTATTAATGATCAGTTACAAGTACATCAATGTACAAGAGGTATGATCATGTATATTTATATATTAATAATTATATTAAATGTATAACAGGTAATACTGATGCTCCTACTAGTACTGTACCAGTAGTATCTACTGTATCATCATCAGTTTCTGTAATTAATAAACCTGTTACTAGTACTACATCAGGTAAACATACACTTAATACAACACTCATTAACTGATACACTACTGCAGGTAACACTCCTAGTGCTATATTAAGGATGAATTATGCTACTCTTGTTGATGCTGTTACTAATAGTCTGCAGAAAGTAACTGATGCACTGTATGCTAAAGAACTGATACCACAACAAACTAAACAGGAAATGCTAGTACTAGCAGTTGATAATTATACTAAAACTGCCAACCTTATGAATGTCATTGAAAAACAGTTGGAATCCTCTCTTAATCCAGAGCAGTATCTTATTGATATATGTCATGTATTAATAAACCAACAACATCGTACACTAACAGATATTGCTACCTCTATATTACACCAGTTAGGTGAGTGTGTGTGTGTACATTATCAGTGATCAATATAGTCATTATATCTCAATACATTAGGTCAGTCTATACCTGATAATGTCAGTTCACAGATTGTACTACCATCACCAGTTGATGATATATCCAATACACCAGTTACTAATATAAGAGGTAATAAATTATTTAATGTGTATACATTGTTTTTATGTATCTTGATCAATAGGTCAGTCTGATGTAGCTAAACCCATTAGTTCAATACCTCATGATGTTCAAGGATATGCTGACAATATGAGACAACACTACAAACACCAACCTATTGTTGCTACAGACTGGCCACCAAGAATTGGAAAAGATTTCTTTGGAAGACTAGCACTAGTAGAAAAACAAGACTCCACCACACAAGCAGAATCAGCTTGGCATATGCTAAGAGGACAAGTTGATGAAACAGTTAAACTAACTGAAAACAAAGAGATAAGTGTTGAAGATGTCCTCCAACCCACAGATAGTTCTCTGTCTCTCAGAGTAGTAATAGACGGTCCTCCTGGTATTGGCAAGACCACACTCTGTCGTAAACTGTTAAATATGTGGTCTAATGGACCACTTGTACACCAACAGTATGACTTGGTACTTTACTGTCCTTTAAGGAATAGCAAGATAGCTACAGCTACTACACTAGCTGACCTGTTTGTGCGTCAGCTTAATAGATATAAAAATGTACCTGAATGGTTTGAGAAGAGGGACGGAGAAGGATTACTGATAATGTTTGATGGTTGGGATGAACTAAGTGAACAACTCAGACAGTCTTCATTAGCTGCTAGTATCATTTGTAAAGAGAAGTTAGACCAATGTTCAGTGATTGTTACCTCTCGTAGCTATGCCTCCTCTTCACTTTTGAAAATGGATACTCTCAGTAGACATGTTCAGGTCATTGGGTTTTCTGAGGAAGAAATATCAACAGTAATTATACAAACACTTCAAAAAGATACAAAACTAGCACAAGAACTCATGAAATACTTTGGCCTTATATACAACGAAGATGATGATAGTGAACATGAATTTGAATTACCAACAGATAAGGACTCACAACTAGCAGTGAAACTCATTAATGATCTTGAAGTACGAAATGATGTCCAATCATTGTGTTATGTACCACTAGTCTGTTCCATGGTCATCTTAGTTTATTGTAAGGAAGGAGGACACTTACCAACAACACTCACTCAACTCTATGAGAACTTTATCCTACAAACTATCAGAAGACATGTTAAAAGACATGACATTAACCCACATACTTTAGGTAGTCTTTCTTCATTACCATCACAATTAGCTAAACCTTTACAAGAGATGTGTCAATTAGCTTATACTAACCAGGCTAATACAACAATGACATTTTCTTCACATCAACTACAGTCACTGAGTGAGGCAGTCAAGGAAGACTATCTTGGATTGATGACAAGATTCACAGAATATGATGAGGAGAAGTATCAGTTCCTTCACTTGAGTATACAGGAATTTCTAGCTGCATGGTGGATAGCTAAGCATGAGAAGAAGACAGAGGAAGTGTTTAAGGATCACTTTGACGATGATCACTTTCGAATGTGTCTGAGGTTTGTGGCAGGTCTAACTCACCTTGAACATGAGAGCTATCAACAGTATTTTAATAAACAACAACTTGACTTACAGTGTAAGAGGAAACCATTGTTTGGATTTGAGACTTGTCATCTCTCCTACTTCTATCAGAATCCTGAGATTAGATATCGCGATCATATCGGATCTGATGATTTTGACAATGTTCCCATTCTTCTTCTTCAACTCCTGTATGAATCACAGAACACAACATTATGTCAAGTATTAGCACAATCCATCAACAACCACTCACTGTGTCTGGGTAGAGTATCATTATCATTATCATTGTTTGACTGGTTGTGTCTCAGTTATTGTATGAACAATTCCAACACAACATTGCACCTGGGGACTGTTCATGAGGAACTATCACCTGAACAAACCATATTACTACAGACCCAGTGTAAGGGACTGGAGGTAGAGTTATATGAACCCACTGATGAATCAATACACAAATTATTACAATCATCACTTCTATACAATATTCAGGAGTGCTACTGTCAATTAGATAGTGATGGTCAATATGTTCCCTGTCTTGTATTGTTACAGTTCCTCAATCTTCCTCAATTGAAGATACTGCACTTAATAATGGATGATCCTACTATACCAACAGTTGACAATGCATACTACACAGACAAGTGCACTGAACTTGAGAAATGTATAGAAATGAATTCAACACTACAAGAAATGAAGATTGAGCATAGTGGAGAGAATGAAATAACAAGTACCATTATCAGTGTCATTAGAGGAGTAACAAGAAATAAAACTGTAACATCATTAACAATAGATGCTTCTTTTATTGCTTCTCCTCCTCCTCTACCTGATGGAGTAATAGAGCAGTTACTAAAGGATAACAACACATTACAAGCTCTTTCACTGAACATACCTGATAAACTCCTACCATCATCAAATTCATCATATATAGATCTATCTAATGAACTATCATCATCAGATTCATCAGTATCAGACATATCTCATGATCTAACATCGTTGGACTCATTATTAATCGATAAACTCCTACCATCATCACTGAATATAGTAGAGGTGAACACACCACTGACTGCTCTAGAGATAGGATGGAGCAGTAGTGGTGAACTGATGACATCATCACTTCTTCCACATATCAAAGGATTACACTGTCTGATACTACCTGATCCATACCCACCACATCTTCTATTTGACTCTCATCCCAGTCTACATACACTTACTTTACCACTATACACAGCTGAGAGTGCTATTGAACTATTTACTATTCTACAAACCAATACTACACTTAAAGCTCTGAGTGTGGAGATAAAGTGGGAGGGAGTATATACCAGCAGTATGGGTACTAGTCTACAAGACATGCTAACACAAAGCCAAACACTGAAATACCTTGTGATTAATAATTACAAGAAATTTTTTGGTTATATTCCCATTCCCAGTTCATTCCTGTCCTTCCTAACAACTGGTCTCAGACACAACACCAGTCTACAGCAGTTGAGTATATCTATTCCACTGAATGAAGAGATAAGAACTTTTTTTAATGTCATCTCTCAAAAGAACAATCTCACAGAACTTAAAGTGAACTTCAAACCAGATCAGTCATACAGTAACTGTAGTGAGGAAGAGAAGAAACAAATAATGACACCATTGTTTTATGAACAGTTACTACCTGCTGTTACTAACATGTTACAGTCACATACAACCATCAGACTACTGAGGATAGAGTGTAGTGATATTAATAAAAAGTCATCTCAACCTAACTGGATAAAACTAGTACAACATTTATATGAAACTATCTTCATCCATCCATCACTTGAATATATTGAGATTTATACTGGATACACATACACGTACACTACTACTCTTCTCCTGTTGGTTACTCTTTTTACTGGATACAATCCTTCTCTCCTGGAGGATACTCTTAAAAATCAAAAGAAGACATTGATTGATAGACACAGAAAAGAACAACCACACAAACCACTACCAATAGTGGAGTTTAGTCATTAATTATTTTTAACAAAATACATACATGTGGAAACACTTATTATTCATGTATAATAATTAATTGATTGATTTTATGTTATGAATATTTAATGAGAAAATGGCAGTATCTTCTCTGTAAATGGTTGTATCCTCTCTGTGAATCTGGCGCTATAAGAGCTCTATTTTCCGTTATTCACTTTATAATATCTTTCACACCTATCAGGGTCGTTACATACACTATATATTGTTAGTTATAGTTAGTTTATAGTTCTTATTATTAATTATTTCTTTATTCTTCTCTTCTTCATATTGATAGTGTAGAGTCTTCACATCAGTTTGAGATACTTTAGTCCAACCATCTTCTTGCACATGATACACTACACCAGACACAAAGGAATCAATAGAATAACTGATACTGCACCATACTACTGGTTCAGTATGCAAATACACTACTATCAGGACAAAATTTGTGGTATAAAATTTGGCAACTTTGGTGAATTAAAGTGCATTTGCCAAAATTGTAGTCTTCAATTTGATAAGGCTGTAACAGCTGCACATAAAATGATCACAATTTTGATAAGATTTTCCTTTCACCACAAATTCTAACACTCAAAGTTTTCTATCCATTAAGAGTTTGAATCTACTAATATTAGCTAATGACACTATTTTATGCATCACTTTAATGTTTTAAAGCCTCCTTACTTATCATTAAGCTACAGTCAATATTAAAATGAATACTGTATAGCGGGAAATTTTGGAGAGAGTTAAATTTGGTGAATTTTGGTGTTTGTAAAAGTTTGATTTAGCAAATTTGTGGCCACATGCCATTGAGCATGTGGATTAAGGCTCAAAATGGCAGGTTTTTATTTTGGCAAATGGCTATCAAAATGCCAAATTTAACTCTCCCCAAAATTTCCCGCTACACAGTATTTAATTAACTTACAGTTGACCACGCCCCCAGAGTAAGAGTCCCTGTATGTAGCATGATAGATAGCTCTCTTCCCTAACTCCCTCGCCTCCTCTATACTCATGCTCCATTTATAAGTTGAATCAATGACACCATAAGCATAAGTGGATCCAGACCCAACACTGAATATATTATTAGTGAACCTGTTACCATCAGTATCAACGTAATATATACCAGGACCCTATTGGGTGGGAGGGGCAGGGGGAGGGGCTAGTATTATTATTATTAATTATTAATTATTACCTTTTTATCCCAGCCACATATCATAGTGCCCTGTAAGGAATTGGAGAAATACTTTAATTAAATGAGTGGGTGGATCAATTACCATATATGGAGTAATTGTCATAGTGTGTTAAAAATTTAAATTTTTGAGCACTTTTCTTGAAAATATGAAAATTCTAAACACTAGCAAATTTCAAATTGTATGGACAAATTTTTAATCTTTTCATTACACCCAAAAAACGACAGTTTGACGTACCCAAAAACCCACCATACATACAATAGTGAGTTACTGTCACTGACCAAATATGGTCATAATAATTAATATCGATTGTATTAGTACACGCCCACACACAATTAATAATAATAATAATCCATTACCATTGATAGTCCATATCCTTTATAATAAGATACCATATTAGCTAATAGTTTAGAAGCAGCTGCTACCGATATCCTCTCCTTGTTCCGTAACTCATAGATACGACACTCAAATGATAACTGTCTCTCCCAGTAAGCACAGTCAGCAGCTCCCCCAGCCATTGTCCCCAGGAGGTAAGGATTGATCTCTATCACCTTCTTCACAGTCTGGGACGCTACAGGAAATGAAATATAATTAATAAAGTATAATAGGTATCTGGAAATGTAATAGAAATAGTAAATCCTCTCTTTTTTATTTTTGGCAAAATTTGGCCCGTGACCCTGTACTATAGTACAGGGACTTTTGTCCGATTTTGAAGTAATTTAAAAATTCGTAAAAAATCCAAACTTGATCGGAATCAGCTCAAACTTTCTACACGACATAATGACACTTTACATAATGACAGATTTTATTTTAACAAATGGTTATCAAAATGCCAAATACAGATAATGTAAAAATTATAGAAATGCTGGATTTTTAAATAACAGATTTTTTACACAATAAAAGCTAAAAATTGCAATAAATTAACAAAACCCCATGAATAATACATAACTCACTACCTTGCAATAGGTATGAAGAACTTATGCTCTATCTTGAAAGAGTTGCTTTTGGAAGCCATTTTGAACTAAGCCACGCCTATAAATGTTAGGCCCACCTTTATTAATAACTAGCTACTAGTTATTAATAATAACATGGCGGTTGAGATGGAGTCAGAGTCTGATTCTGATGATGAATATTGTCCTAATGAAAGTTAGTGGAGTCGATTTATTTAATGTAATTATTAATTTTACAGATAAACTGCTCTGAAAGAATATGAAGAAGAAAATGCTAAACTAATGAGGTACTAACAATAATAATAATAATAGCAGTAGTAGTGGGAAAATTAGAAAATGTAATAAAAATTGACAAAATGTGGCCCAAGACCATGTACTATAGTACAGGGACTTTAATTGGCCTGATTATTGAAATTATTAACTTGAAAAATTGAGTATAACAACGTCAATATGTATCAGGAAATGTAATAAAAATTTGGGTTGATTTTGGAGCCATTTTTTGAAAAAACCATGGACTATAGCCTTGGGTATTTTTCAAATTTTTGGTGTTTTTTAAATGGCCGTAACTTGAAAAATTGAAGTCGGAATTAGCTCAAACTTTCTACACAGCATAAGGACATCAATATGTATTAGAAAATGTAATTTAAAATGTAGAATTCTCTACTTTTCATTTTGGTGAAAGTTTGCCAAAATCCCTGTACTATAGTACAGGAACTTTGGCCCAATTTTGGAGTAACTTTAAAAATTTGTAAAAAATCCAAGATTAATTGAAATCAACTCAGACTTTTTACGCAATATAAATATGTATCAGAAGATGTACAAAAAATAGAGAATTTTTTACTTGTTATTTTTGGCAAAATTTGTCCCGAGACCATGTACTTTTTATTAATAAAATTATTAAGTAATAGAAAGAGGAAAGGTCCTGCCCTTAGTGAAGTGGTTGATGATTTACTGGAGGAGGAGGGGGCGGGGCAGGGGGAGGAGCCAGAGAGAGGAGTCTAGTAGAGGATGAAGACACAAAGAAGAATAGATTAGATGAAGTATGGATGAACTTTAAAAAAGAAACAACAAGTACCAGAACAACAAATAGAAAAGAAACAAATAAACAAATTGAGGAAAAAACTGAAGTAATTAATATTATATTAATTAATTTATTTATTTAATTGAAAGGTTTCGTCTGTTCCTATGGAAACAATTAAAATAAAGAAATCGTTTGATTTTGCAGGAGAAGAAGTAATGTTAGTAGAACAAGAAGAAACAGGAATATCATTATTAATGACATTATTATTATTATTATTATTATTATTATTATTATTATTAGTGTTGAGAAGGAGGTCTCTGTACAGTCGAATGAAGCAGTTCAGTTTATAAAATCAACAGAAAAGAGTAACAGACCAAGGTAATAATAGTTATTAATAGTTAATTACTGGTTATTAATTAATAGTGTGGGCGGAGTCAGAAGGTCAGGAGGTGCTAAAGCGTTATTGGCATCGTTAAATAAAAAACCAAAACTCTCAACACTAGTAATAATTAATTAATAATTAATTAATAATTAATTTATTATTATTATTATTATTAGGAGAAGTCTAAATTAGACTGGGACAGTTGTAAGAAAGATGAAGGATTAGAGGATGAACTAACCTACCAGACTAAAGACGGGTCAGTATTACCTACTGATCAATACTCCTCCTTTATACTCTACCCTCACATTAAGTGACTATAAACTCACATTACCTCACATTAAGTGACTAGACTCACATTACCCTCACATTAAGTAACTATAAACCAGTTTATGTGTGGACTGCATTGACTCATCTAAAGTAGCTCAAGTGTGTGGTGTAGATAATGAAACTGGTTTAAGTACTGAAGGAGGAGCAGCAGGTGTATTGTATCATTATAAACTGATTTAAACACACTAATACAAGTGGAACCACTTGAGCTGGTTTATAACCACTTGCTTTAACTTGTAAACTAGTGTGTGAGTGTGGTGTAAACTGGGTTTATGACTATAAATTGTGTCTTCTCTCCCTCCCTCCCTCTGTGTGTGTGTGTGTGTCTCTCTCTCTCTCTGTCTCTCTCCCTCTCTGTCTCTCTCCCTCTTTCTCAGGTATCTTGATCGTCAGTCCTTCTTAAGTAGAGCTGATGTGAGACAGTTTGAAATAGAGAGAGATGAAAGATTGAAGAGATTTAAAAGACTAAACTAAATACTATTAATATACTACACACACTAACCTCCTCTTATGTAATAATAATATTCACTACAATACAATATTATATTATTG